GACATAAGGTTATGGCATGTGTGGGGTGTTCAAAGTCCTGCTGTAGAAAATTTGAAATAAACGAGATAAGGAATAGACACCCAACCACCTTTAAAACAATTCTTAATGAAAGTTTAAGAGCATTGCTGTAGAAAGTGGTGTACTTCGAGAGACTGCTGTACTTTGAGAGATAGCTGTACTTTGAGAGATAGCTGTACTTCGAGAGACTGCTGTACTTTGAGAGATAGCTGTACTTTGAGAGATAGCTGTACTTTGAGAGATAGCTGTACTTTGAGAGATAGCTGTACTTTGAGAGATTGGTGTACTTTGAGAGATTGATGTACTTTGAGAGATGGCTGTACTTTGATGAATTACTCTTCCTTGATAGATTTCTTTACTTTGATAGTTTGTTGTACTTTGAGATATTGCAAGGAATGGTCACCTGAACAATTTCACTTACGCACAATTACCTAAATAATTTTTCGTCACATAATCAGCGAATCATTTCTACCGACACATGGTCACCGGAAGAATTTCAATGTACAACATATATAAATATAAACATTTTTCCATTATTTTGATTTTTTTTTTAATGTATACTTAATTATTTCTCAAATTTGAATATAAGAAAATATAACGAGAAATAGAAACAAGTTAAAAGTTTAAGTGATCGCCATTTGTTATTGCCGGAAGTTGGACAAGTTGGATTTTTCAAAAACCAAGATTACAGGAAATGAAAGAATTTATGAATTGTTACTGTGAAAACTAAAATCCTAAATCTTAACGGATCAAAACGCTTCATGAAAACATTTCAATATGACCAAATGGAAGCATTTGTCCAATTCACGTTATCATGCTCAACATTTAAATAGGAAAGACGCGTAACCTATGGTAACATTTAAAAACGAAAGACGCATTTCGCATGGTAACATTGAAATATGAAAGACGCGTAACCTATGTTAACATTGAAATATTAAAGACGCATCACGCTTGGCAACAATCTTATATGTAAGTTGATATACATTTACATCAAAACAATTTAATGAAAGACAACGTTGATTACTACGAGAAATACTAATACGGAGACGGATGTATGGGGGCCAAGTGATCTACATCCCCTAGCCGATACTACTAGATAACATCACTATTTACGATATTCATACTAACATGTTCCAATCGTTTAATTCAGTGGTCGGCCAACTAATTACTAAAAAAATCAGCAGCAGGGCGATTTTTAAAAAAAAATCAAGATCCCAATTTCTTTTCAAGAACCTGTCAAGAACCATGTTTTTCGGAGTCAAAACCAATTTGTGGCCGACTGGTCGAGCCGCACTCAGGTCGCTGTATATAAGGAGCCGCATGCGGCCAACGAGCCGCGATTTGCCAACCGGTGGTTGAATTTAAATGACTCCTTTGAATAACAGCCTGCTCGATGACGTGGTTATCATCACAGAACAGATGTCATGCAATTACTAAACTAAGTGGAGTAATCGGTATTAGTTTATACAGAAATGTAGGGCCCATGTCAACCATGTCAATATTGGAGGGGGTTGGTGTGGGGAGGTCAAATAATCAAAAGTGAAAATTTCAACTTGTTTTGGACTGAGTAAAGGATCTATAGCACACCCTAAATACACCAAAATTATATTGATAACTTCTCGAAGGGGCGCTACTGGAGTTAGCGTTACTCTTCTGTCGGCTTAGAAAGGGGCCATTCCTTTTTTATAAGGGCGCAGAAAAATGACATCTTGGCCGTGACGCAATCGTCGAACTCTCCACTGGAACCCTCACGTCCACCATGATCAGGGCCGTGAGCCAGATCTGATCTCGAAGGGGTCAGAGCCCCCGCTTGATTGTCTGCTGGTCTTGCGGGACCAAGCATAGAGATCTCAGCAAGTGCTCCTGTGGGCTCTGCGGGATCCTCTTCGTCGTCACCATCCAGCACAACATTCACCCTATCGAGAAGCTCCCAGAGTGTGATCCGTCGATCTTTTTTCTGCATTTCCTCTACTCTGATTCCTTCGTCCAGTAACCCAAGTAAAATGTTTGGTTGAGGCCTGCTCTCCTCTTCCTTGCAATCCTTTACGATGGAGGGGATGTACTCCAGCACACTCTCGTACAAACTGAAGCCAAGTAAAAAAAAATCATGAAAGGAATTAGAATATTTTCCTATTGTTTTTTTTTTTTTTTTTTTTAAGTACACTTTTCTTGTTTTGAAATAAGAATGTGTGTTTTCTTTAACCCTTTTCATT